GGAGGAGAAGACGTGTAGTTCTGCACACTCCCCCTTGACGACGATCGCTCAGATCCCTCTCTCGGACGCCCGGGTTTGGAGCCCCTCTCTCTTCAGGTGGGCTCGGGGCTTGAGCACTTGAGCCAAAATGGCTACTCTCTCTCTCTCTCTCTCTCTCTCTACGACCATGGGGTTCGGGGCAGGTCAAGCCCCTCCCCCCGCACGCGAACGCGCAGCTGCAGTCCTTGGCAGGAGTTTCCTGGTGGGAGGTTTGCCCCCCCAGGCTTGGCTTCACATTGTAGAGTCCCCCAACCGATGGCAGTACAAAACAAACACGCGTACAATGCGAAGCAATGCGAAGCAAGACTAAGGCCGGGGCCCGAATCGGCAGGGAACTCTATCAAAGGATTGGGGTGCTAGGCCAAAAACGTGCTGTTTCCCCCCGCTTCATTGAGCAGGTTTTGGATTGCCTATTGGTGGAACGAAAGCGAATTGAGGCTCAAGCTGTCCCCCGAATTCACAGCTGGCTTACAGGTGAGTTGAAAGGATGCTAAGATTTGCGGGCGATGTGGCCCGATACATGGCTTGAACGGAGATGGCACGAAAGCCATTAAAATCTCACACCTAGTCCCCCTCAGAAATTGTTGCGTCGGTCTTTTTCTCAGCAGGCGGTCGGCACCAAGCTTTCGAACCAAAACTTGCAAAGGGACAAGTCCCCCATCTGGAGTGGGCTCCCCCTTTCAGCTTCTAGAGGCTCCACGTTCTGCACGAGCTTTTGCCATGTGCTCCTGTATCTGTTGTACTCTTCGCCACTGCACATTGGGAACCAAGAGGATACGCCCCCTTTCTGTGGTGAGGCTGTCCGGTTGTTGGGCTTGTGGCGGCGGCCTCCCACGTGGTTCGCTCGGTCGCAGTGCAAGGTGGCTTGGGCTGTCTCCCCGGTCGGAGGGGCGACCAGAGTCCCCCCAAGGCCAACTATACGACGGCTCAGCCTCGTCACTGGAGCTGTTCCCCCAGTCAGGTGGTGTGTCAGTGCCCATTGATTGTCTCCTTTCTCCCACTTGCTGCGTCTTCGTCGCTCCCCTTTTTCGCATGCTCGGTCTGCGGCGTTGGTGTTGGCTCTCCACCATGCGGATCTTCACGGTAAGCTCCCCCACCTGGTGGAGCGCACTGAGCTGTCTCTGGTGCAGCAACTTCCCCGAGTTGCTTGGGGCTACAGGTCTCTGCTTTCTCCTTCTCCCCCGCGCTTTGCGGATCTGTTTGCGGACCTTCTTGATTTGCTTGAGTAAGTCCCCCACTTGCTCTGGGAACCGGGCCAGGTAGATGGGTGCTTCAGCAAAGACTCTCGGTTGGTATTTGTCCACCAAACGGATGTACTTATCCACCATGTCCCCCGTATGGCAGCGTCTCGAGTGCCGTTTGCAGAAGGCCATGTACGACGCGGCTAGCTTTTTTGAGAGGGGCTTTCCTGTGGTGGCATCTCTGTATCCCCCGTTGCCCTCGTCTTCAAGGACCTCTTTCCCTATCCAGCTGTCCATGGAATGAAGCGCATACAGCATCAAGTTCCCCCGCCTCGTCCGAATCTGGGTCATCTCTGAAAGCGGCCGCAAAGAGGAGGCTGCAGCTCCGGCTGATTGCTCTGTGTGGCTTCTGGCGGCTGATGAGGTCTACTGTTCCCTCTATCTGTCACCCCATGTAGCCGGCAGTTCGGGTCTGTGCGCTCGTGCTGTTTACGGAAACCAGTGGTGCACGTACCATCCCCGTACTTACATAGTTTGCATTCTTTCGCCATCCCCCGTAGGTTGACCTTCACTATCTCGCCCTTCCTGCCAAAATCACGTCCTGGTAGTTGAAGGTCTCCCCCACCCAACGTCCAGGTAGCAGGTGGTCGCCGCAATGGCAAACGAAGGGAAGGTGTGGAAGTAGTGGAGCGTTCTCTCCCGGACAAGCGTGCTCAGGATCAAGTACTTGCAGTCACGGGGTCCCCCTCAAGGCCGTAGTGTTCGATCTTTACCTTCACGGATATGGCTCGCGGCTAGGGACCTTTTCCACAGGGCCTCTGAAGCAAAGTGGCAGCAGGTATGTGACTCAAGCCTTCCCCCGCTTGAAGGATCGTCCACCCTCCAAGGTTGCCGGGGACAGCCAGCAGCCTCGGAGGGCCGTCCTCAAGCGCCCCCCCGAGTGGCGGGTCGAGTAGCCACTCTCTCTCTCTGTCTCTTTCGTTCGCCAGGGCTAGGGGCAAGGGGAAGATCCCCTTACCTCTCTCTCTCTCTCGCTCTGTCTCTCTGTGTCTCGGGTCTCCAAGTCGAGACGTGTCTTGGCGAGCTACTTAAGAAGCATCCGTACTCTTTCGACTGCATGAGCCGAGGGGCGCCACGCGGCAACCCAGCGGCACGCGTTCAGCGCCTGCCACGAGCCAGCGGTCCTGCTATCGTCACCGGGTTGCCAGCAGGCACAACTAGAATGGACACGACAGCGCCCGCTGCAGAGGCCGCTGCCCGTGTGTAACGGCTTCGCCAGGTGTCGTTCATCAGCTGCTGCACCTACACGCGCAACCGCAGGCTTTCTCCCACTGCTGGGTCACTTTTGCGCCTCGGCGATGCGGTTCGGGTCGGGGAAGATGTGGATACCATCCCTGCGGAGGCAGGCCCAGTAAAGTGTCTCTATACAACCACTTTTGAAGCAGGTTCCGCCTGGTTGCCCAGTATGGTGGCAATGTCAGCTGGTCAATGACCTTTGGATCACCCGCCCGGTCCGTGCCCTGTGTCCACAGATTTTTGCACCTAGAGTGCGAAGCAGAATGCAGGCGCACTTCCTACCGAGATCTGTCAGCGGAAAGTCTGCCGGCGAACAGGCTTGATCCTGAACCTGTTGGCTCGCAGGCTAGAAGGATTACGGCCCCGTATGCCAGATCTTCGGAGCGGCTACACTCGTACTTAGAAAGGTGGAGTCAGTTCCTTCAGCGGATCGAAACTCATAAACTGCACAATGATGAAAATTTGTGGCTTGTAGGGACTGCAGTATCTCGTTAAGAGAATACAGGGCATCGCAGCACGGACCGGCCCCACGGCTACAAACATCCATCCCCCTATATGCGTGCTTACACGAGCCTCTGCATCATTCGGAGTGCTTTGGCTGGATACCCGTGGATGGCTGGAGCCTTCATTAATGCTCCACAGGCTTCTCGGGGCCAGCACCATGAGCATCACCGGATCTCTACTCCACCCTCCTGCAAGTACGAGGCGCACCCAAACCTAATGTGAATGTCACAAAATCAAAGCAACGACCCTCCCAAATGAAGCTCATGGTGCTGGGCATTGTCTGCTGGTCCGCATTTACCCGAAGTACCATGCACGAAGCCTCAAAACACGTCTAACAGTCCGAGTTTTCGACAGAGATCGGTCACAGAGCGCCAGTTTCGAGAGATCCCCCATGATGGCAATGTCGCCATTGGCTCCGCGCAAGGGATGCGAAACAACTTTGAGGACTTTAAAGGGCAGCAACGTGACCGATTCGACGGCATGCATGTCGTGCTTCGGCGGTTTGGATGTCGCAGTGCAGCCCGACCAAAACACAAACAACTAGCTCGTTTCCAGTGCCTTCACATGCCTGTGCTTGCATCGGCAAATCAATAAAGTCAAAAAGCAAAGGACGCCAAAATGGCACTCCAAGGCACGTAGGTGCAGCCAGCTTTCATGTCTGAGAGTCTGTGAACAAAATATGCACATCCATGGTAAAATGTGCACCTTGCATGCCGCGCACTCTTCCGCGATGCCATGCGATGCCTGTGTTCTACAGGACTTGGAAGCGGACAGCCTCTCCTTCTCAAGATGTCTTGATCCGGTAGTGCTCCATGTCAGTGCTTTCGAACTTTTTGGAAGTCGAAATTGCCTATGTGATAGTCATAACGTGTTTAACACTGAGCCGGCCTACTTTTCAAATCTCGCCGCAAGGTAAGTTGACACCTTCCAGAACTGTGCCCAAGCGGCACGTAGTGGAGACGTCAGCCAAACGATATGCCGATATGCATGCATCCGAAAATCTGAAGAACCAGAAGTCGCCGACGGAGCTACTGTGCTTGGGGTTGCCCCAGAAGCTGTCACGGGATATCCAACAGTCTTCTAGACTGGGGGCGCCAAGTTGCTGTGTAGATTGTCATAGAAACCTTGCCTTCTGCCGTGCATCAAACTGACATCAAGACTGACAGTGTAACGTGTAGTCAGAATCACCGCGCCTGGACCAATCAATGACTCTGATTCAATCTTGACCGTCCAATGAGTGGATACTGCTGCCGCCGACTAATCTGTCAACTCAGTCGCCTCCGAGTGCCACTGTATGCGGACGTTGAATCGACGCAATGCACTCGACCCGACCGCCGCACACCGGCAAAAGTAGGTACATTCACAACTGCCGAGTCTCTCCGGGGCTCTGGCTAGGTCGATGCACTCTTCGGTCCTGCTCGAGGCGTCGCAGATGGCGTCGCGGCTGGGGGGACGTACGGAGGGTGTCCGCTTCCGTCCGCCTCGCCTGGCGCGCGTGTGGCTCGAGGCCGCAGTTGGAGCCGAGGCGGCGGAGCGGGCAGAACGGCCCGAGAAGGAGCCCACCTCCAAAGAAGACTCAGAGAGTCAGAGAAAGAGACTTCTAGAATTCTCTCATTTTGAGACTTCTTTCAATCGCACGCGCAGGGTGCCATCTCTGGCCTTCGGAAGGCCGAGGGCGCAGGCCGGCGCCTCTCAAGTTGCGTCACTTGCGTCTTGTTCCTCGCTGGAACTTGAGGCAAGGGCAGCAGGAGCCACAGGGGTCAGCGGAGGCCCAATCGGCACGTCGCCCACTGCAGCAGCCACGGCCGCGGCCATCGCCCTCAAACAGCTTGGGAGTTGTGTCTTTCAGTGCATCGCCCTCCAAACATCTGAGATACTCCAAACCTTCGCTTCAGCAGACGGTGCCGCAGCAGGCCCACAGTAAAGACCAGCAACCTTGATGTAAAGACTAAGATGCATGCACGCTGCAAAGACAAACGAGGAACTGAGCTGTGAATACTTGCGTCATATTGGTCATACTGCTTGTTCATGCAGGAACCGGAAGGGCTGTTTCGTGCCACCCAAAGCTTTGCCGCAATCCGAACGTTTGCATGGATTTCGGCTTCCGACCCTAAAGGTCCGGCAACTTCCATTGATAGCTTTATTCTAGGAAGGCATCTTCGACTGCTCTGAGACTCGAGCATAGCCTCAGAATGCCCTCGAGGACATGCTGTCCAAGACCAAGAACACTCAACAGAAAGAACTGTGCCAGCCTTCGAGCCAATTGAGCTAGCAGCTAGTAACCCCCAGGCAAAGTCTGATCCGACATATGCGACAGCCACCGGCTATCGGTGTCATCCTTCGTCCTCCACCAGACCCGGAGCGCACCCCACATCGTCGGAATTCCGTGGAAAAGCGGGCAACACACGAGGCCTCCTCAACCGTTCCAAATCGTGTGGAATGCCTTTTTGACAGTCCTTGTTGCTTGTGCCTGGGGGTCTCTCGTGGCCACTGTACTTGTGATGATTTTTGTTTCCGATTGCGACAAATGCTCGGTGTCTTTCGAAAGATGCAGGGAGCTGAGGCTGTGGCAGCACAGCAGCTGTGACGGCCGCGGCCAGCGCCGCCACAGGGAGCTCCGAACGAAGGCCCTGAGAGCAAATGACGAAGCCCTCCAACTTTCCAAGTTCACCGCCATGGGAGGACTCATCTACACACAGTTCGTACAAGACCGTGAATGATGTCGGCTAAGAACTATCTTCGCCAGTCATGCAGAAGTCGCGAAGCCTCGGCAGTCACGTCGCCGCCAGCGCCAGCCGCAGTCGTCGAGTCAACCAAGCGGCATGAACACTTGGGTTCGTCCGGAGCGTCGGCGGACCCAGGGTCCCCTTCGTGGTCCTCAGGTCTTGGGCCTTCCGGGTCCCCATCGTCACTCTCGTGCTGAATCTCTGCACCTTCTTCTTCCGGAATCACGGTGTCACTCTCTTCGCAGGCTTGGCTGACGTTGCCTCAGAGTTGCTATAGCGGCTCCGGTCTACTGTGCCACTTCTGTCCTGCACTGAGGCTGCTGGCCATCAAGGCACCGGTACATCACATGCCCCAAGTAGCCTTCCCGGTCGGGAAGCACACAGGCACAAACAGGCATTCTCTCTCCCTTTCTCTCGCTCTCTCTTCTTCCTTCGGGCATAGGGGGTCTGTCAAATCCCCCTGGCTCCAAGTCCCCCGTATGTTACAGCGCGCTTGGAGGGATTGTGAGATTTTGTTTCCCCCGAGGAAGTGTTTCAAGGTCTCGAAGTGACCATAGCATTCGGCTAACAGTGCGCCCAAACTCGGCGATGTATAATCAGCGATGGCGTCGTCGGCCATTCAGGTCTTGTTCTATGCACTCCGCCGGTTGGTGGACTTTCCTGGAGAGTTTCCCAACATCAAGCTGGATGAGATCTCACGCTTTGCCCCACGATACTAGAAGTGGCACAAAAGCTCATGAATTGTTGGGAAAACGGACGCGTGGCTATTTCGCAAAGCGACCTGCAGCCCGAACAGTTCACGTACCCTCCCACATTTGAGGGGGCCGTGCGGATCTTCATCCCCTACAGAAAGGTTGCCCTTCAACTCGCATATGAACCACAGCCACCATTGCAACCGGCGGTTGTTCAAAAATGCATCTCTCGAACATGCCCCATGTTCTAATAATGGCTACTCTGTTTGCGAATCTTGATTGCTCCGACAAAGTAACTGCGACATCCTTCGCAGTTTACGGACCCATACACGCTCCAAACTGCTCTCTTCTTCCTTTGGGTCTAAGGGGCGAATCACGCCCCCCGGCCCAAAACTGCTCTCGCTCTTTCCCTCTCTGTCTCTGTCTCCGTCTCCGTCTCTGTCTCTCTCTGTTTCTCTCTGTTTCTCTCTCCTCTCTCTCTCTGTTTCTCTCTCCTCTCCCTCTCTCTCTCTNNTCTCTCTCTCTCTCTCTCTTTCGCGACGGCTACGGTGGAGGGTTGTTGCCCCCCACCGCGCGTTTGTGTGCCCCCGATGGTTGCGGAAGAGTTTCTGCCGCGCACAACCAAGGCATTGACTCCCCAAGATAGCTCGAAGCGGCACCATGGTAAGACAAGCAATGCTTTCGCTGCGGAGTTACTCCTCGAGGTAGTACGATCTCCAGCAGCGAAAATTGGATATCGACGATCCGAACAGCTTCAACAATTACAGGGATCAAGAATACATTGAATAAATCGTTGAATAGAAACAGTACGTAAAGGCAGTGCATGTGGCGCGTCATCTATGCATGTTGTCGAGAAGGTGTTTTGGGACTTGGCTGGGCATTGACACGGGCAGCAACAAATAACAACAACCTGGACGCGGCGAAGGTTCGACATGCATTGAATCAGTACGCCGCTACTCAAGTTTTTATGCGACCGCCTTCTTACAAAGGGTGCCGGCCCAGGACTTAAAGGGCAAAAGTGGTAAAGCACACAGCCACAGAGAGGGGGCGGGATTTGCAGGAGTTTGGAGGCTCCAGCGGCCCGTCTAAACTAGAGGAAAGAATGGACGGCTGCAACGGGTGTTTCTCACCCCAGGGAGGTATCTAGCATATCTAGCTAGGATGGAGAGAACGTTGTGCCAAGCGCAACCCTGCGGAACATCGCAGGCCGGTCTTTGTTCAGTTCTGGCAATTGGAGCCATCGAGCGAGAACAAAGGCCAAACAAGCCAAAACCCTAGCATCAACCCCACTCGCAAGGCTCACAGATGATGACAAGAGAACGAAAAATTTTCTAGGGGAGTTGGCTCGTGAGGCCAAGGCTTAACCTCGCCGAAAAAAGGGCGAAAGGTGTCGACGCACTGCTCTCACTTCAGTGTTGGTGTAGTCCTCAACTGTGCCACCTGTGTTTTGGCTTTGGTTGTCTTGGCCTTGTCCTTCTTCTTATTCTTGGCGAGGGGAGCTCCCCTATCTCGAAAAGGAAGTCCCGGCCCGCCTTGGGGTTTTCGCCCGTAGTGTCAGGAGTAGGAATGGTTTCTCCTCCTTTGTCGCAAACTATGATGGGGATGGTGTGCTTCCGGTGGATGGTTTTCTGGAGAAGAAACTGGTGCGGCCTTCCTATGGCGGTAAGCGCAGGGCCAGGAATGCGTAAGGAGCCACTGTAATCCCCCACGGCTTGACTCTTCTTCGCCAGGGCATGGGGAGCGGTTGAGCCCCCCCGGCCGTTTGGCCCCCCATTTGTTATGGGGCTTTGAGGAGGCGTGAGAAAGGTTTCACATGGTCCCCCTGTTTCTGAACACTGAGATAACCACGTACGAAAGCAAAGACACGGTTTGACTCTCTCTCTCTCTCTCTCTCTACCAGGCAAGAGGAAAGGGGCGGACACCCCTCCCCTCGCGCGCGAACGCGCACCTGCAGGTCTTGGCAGGTTTTCAACTTCCTGGTAGGGGGTTGGACCCCCCAGGCTTGGCGTTACAAAGCACGGCCACTGAAAGTAAAGGGAGTCCCCAGCTGATTGCAGACAACAAGTCAAACAACAGCGCGGTAATCAGGAATATGACATGCTAAGGCGGGGACCCAGATATCGGCCGAGGGATTCCAGGTCGGGGTTGCAAGGCAAAAGCGTGCAGTCTTCCCCCCTGCTACGTACGAGCAAGAACTTGGTACTATCATTGAACGGAACTATAATTACTGGTTGGCCAGAAAAGTTTGAGCTCCAAAGGTGAGTTGAAAAGAAGCGAAGATTAAGGGCACTGTGTCCCCGAGGTACAAGTTGAACGGAGAAGGCTAACGAGCCTACATAAAAAGTTCACACCTTATCTCAAGGCCCTCCTCAGACAGCTGCTCAGAACTTTTTGCGTAGTTGCCACAGTAACAGCGAGGCGTCGAGTTCCCCCAGGTCCAAAAACTGCATGTATAAGGTTGTCGTCCCCCGTCATCGTCACTGTCGTCGGTTGCCCGGTGTAAGTTCCCTTCTCGCACTTGTCAGATGTGCCTGCACTCGCTGCACATCCATCCACATTGACATTTGATTGGGGGTTTGCCGGGCACGTCCCCCTCCCCCTCCTCTTTCAGCTTCAAGGTCACGTCTAGGAGGCGGTTCCCCCCTTGGCTCATTGGGGCGTTCCGCGAGAATTCCTGGCTATCTGTCGTCACCACGGTCCTTTTTCGCACGCTGGTCTGCAAGGTAACTGCGCTCACTTTCCGCAGGCTCCCCCAAGGCTGCTCGTCCACGGCGTTTTCGGTCACTGCTCTTGGGAGTTCGTCGTCCCCCTTTCCTTTCCCCCCTGGCCTTCTCGTGGTAGTAGTGGGGCTTGTCGTGGTACGTCGGTCTCCCCCACGGCTTGAACGAATCTGCTTCCTTATCTTTTTGACCTTCTTCAAGAGCTTTTTGGCTTGCTTGGGAAAGCGGCATACCCTTGTGGGTTTTGTGGGTTTGGAGGGATCACAATGCTCGCCAGTCCAGTTGTGAGGCTTGTGCTGCTTGTTGTTGTGCCCATGCGCGTTGCTCACGTTTGCGATGGCGAGGCACTGCTTTCCATGCACTCCGGGCTGCTGGGCCTGCTGTCGCCGTTTGTGCTGTTTTCCGCAACTGCTTGAGTGCAGGACTTCCACGGAATTTGCTGCCCCCCCCCCCCCGGGTGGGTGTCCTCCCCCTTGGGCGGTGGTACGGCCAGCAGCTGTTGGACTTGGGCTGGTGGGCGGAGTGTCCGCGGCCCCCACCTATGGTCCAGTTGGGTCCCCCTCCTCCTTTGTGCTTGCCATTCCCCGCCAGGGGTAATCCCTCGCACCGCCACATAGTCCAGCCGGGAGGGTGTGGTGAGCCTGGGCCAGTGGGGTGGGGTAAAGGTCTCGTTGGCATCGAACCCCAGGATGGCTTTCGTTTTGGGGAGGTTTTCCACCACTCAAAGAGGATGGTCTCTGTCTATGGGATGGTGGCGTGGTGTGGTATGTGCCCCGAGGTTGCCCTCAATGCGCTAG